TTTTCGAGTCGCGTGAGCGTGCGATGCACATTTCGATAGTGGGGCAAAATGCAAATGCGGCCAACTGCTGCGAAGCTTACAGATTTCAGTTGGCGATTTTCGGCTTAGTGTACCCTGGATTTAGAAATTTTAGGAGGGGTATTGTGTTGGTGAGGGATAGAGCCTTTTAGGGATCTGTTGAATACATCAAGTTTCTCCCGTAAGCAGGAGAAATTTTAATTTGTGATGTAGTTATTTACATTGTGACCTTTTCTTATAATATATAGACAAGTTTTAACCTCTTGTTTATAGTTTTTAAGTCATTCTAGTTAAACATAGGATATACCATTCGACTACATCGATAAATACGTAGAAACTTGCCGAAAATGGTTGGATATTATCCTTCTGGAAAAGGCTTTGTTCGAATACGAAAGGAAATTAAGCTAAAGCTTGCATTAAGCTATATATAAATGGTAATTCAATGAAATATCATTCAATTCAAATTCAAAATATATTTATTGACTCGTCATGTTGACGTTTTGTGAAATGTTTAAGATTATAGGCTATACATACATATATGTAGTTGCAAGTCATTTTGAAACCACAAAGATTATTTTTTCAATAAAAATTAGAGGGTATCTAGTGGTCTGTGCAGCAAACCCTTATCCTTTATCCCATCTCATTTCGTTGGCCTCTGCTGTGCTGCGTCATTCGGGTACACCCGCATTTGGCTTATTGGCACATTTAACCCTTAGTTGGCGAGCTGTGCATAAATTTGGCCAGCGATAAGGTGGCCAGGAGTTGGCCAGACGAGCATCAGTTTCGCGTCCCGGCCTGCCCAATTTAACCTTAAAAGGTGCTACCATTAGCCGCCTCTAATGGCCTCCCCTTTCGTTCACTGTGATCGTGGACCGATATGCGAATTTTTGTCTTTGTTTTTTGTTTGCCTCCCAAAATATTTTCTGTTTGCCCGGAATCGCCTGACTGGCAAATGGAAATTTCTGCCTAATTGTGCGCCTCTCTTGCGTGCTGCTGCCTCCTTTTAGGGAGTTTTCTCTTTTTGGCCATATGCTAATTTGATTGGCAGACTCTGCGTTTGATTGGAAATCATGTGAGTGTACTGAAAAAATGAAAACAAGGGGATTTCCCAGGCCATCATCAGCAATGGCAGCCTGTTGATTCGGGTTTCCATCTCTCAAAGTGTTCTACACGAAAGTCAAAGGTTTGAAAATAAGAAACAAAGTAAAGAAAGCTCGAAAAATATATATTGTTGTAATGAATTCTATATGTATTAAATAGCTTACATAGAAACACTTTTTTAAAATTGAATAATATCACTCTAGGAATTCGTATTCCATTTTTAAGTAAACTTTTCCTTTCTGTGTACAGTGCACACAGTTTTTCATCACCTCGCACAAGAGTGCCATGTCTTTCTTGGCCAAGCATTTTTCACCATGCCAATGTTTACAAAGTCTTTTCCTCCGAACTGCTAATTTTTTATCGACCAACAAACTGCAATTTGCATATGGCAAAGCGAGCTGCTTTTATTTTTTAAAGGAGCCGGAGAAACTGTCGCCATCTAAGCCTGCTGCTCCTTTGGGCTTTATCGTCTGTAAATGAAAAATCGTAAAATATGCAAATTCACGGGAATATCATAAATATTCATGGACCGATTTCGTCTCTCTCTCTATCTTTCAGTGTCCACGAATTTGGATCACTTTGGACTCGCATCAAAATGCATCAAATTCATTTTTGAATTTTCCATCTTTTTTTCGTTGTCGTTAATCTTATGTAAATGCCTGCTGCGTGACTTGTCGAGTTGATTTTGTAGGTCCGCTACAACAATTAAACTCAATTAAGCCATTTTTCCCATTTCTCCTTCTTCGCTTGTAGAGCTCCAGTTTTTAAAGTGGAATTTCTAGGAAACCAAACGCACAAATCTGACTGAATTATAATTGTTTAATTTGATTCAATGAACGCGTCGAGCGTAATTACGGAAATGGCTAACTCAATTGAAAAACAAAATGTATACAAAATGTTTGCTCAATTAAAGCAAATCAACTCTTTTTCAGCTTTAAGCTGTTTTTTTGCATTTTTTTTAATTTACCAGCCGACAAAAAGTATTTTCAGGATGAAAAAACTCCTGAAAAGTTGGAGATGGGGTGTTGAGTTGGGGGAGTAAAACAAATAATGCAAAAAGGTTTTTGTTTCTGTGGCCTTTTTGTTCTTATTTTAGCAGACAAAGGGCAAAAACTGTTTAACAAAAATGCAGAAGCTAAGGTACACAAAAACCCTATATACAGGGAAGTTACCCCTGAAATATACCTTGAAATAATGTGCATTTCCTAAGCTGTCAAGGGCTTACTGTACTTAACGGCGATATTTGCATGCAGCAAGGATTGCATTTGCATAAAAGAAGAGGAAACATTGTAGATGTTTGGGGCAAGGAGTACAGATTTTTAACTGCGGAACCCAGGCCTATAATAATAATGAACATAAATCCGCAATGCCAATATTAATTGAGCTTTCATGAAGCCAGAAACACAAATTAATTTCTCTTTGCAATTGCAGTTTTAATGAAATGCCACTTCAAATCGAGTCTTTTGTATTTAATTGGTTTAATTTATTAATTATGATTTTTTTCGGCCATGTGTGTGAGTGCGCGGGCGTGGCATTTCCCCGCCCCCACTGTCATCATTAAAACCGTACTACAGATAACGAGAGATGGAAAGTCGGCACTAAAAAACTGAAAACGAAAGAGGGAAATAAAACCAATTGACACAATTTTTTTGGGAGCAGCGATAACCTCTTTCCCCTCCGACTTTCGAAATTGTTTCTCCCTTTCTCTATTTATCTGCTGCCAAAGAAGCGTACAATAAAAATCAATTCGAGCAATAAAGTTTTTAATTGGATACAGCTCCCTGCTGCTGCGGAGCCATAAAAACCGAATAGTAGCGAGATGTCTCCATTTGATTTAGAGCCGAGTGGCCAGAGATTCCGTACAGAATGATTATTTAATAAGGTTCAAAGAAATTCCTAAAATAAGGCGCAACCCCGAGGCAGAAATGCGGGTCTGTTCGCCGAAACTGAGCTGCATAAAAAGTGAGAACAAAAGGGGTGAAAAGTGCAGGTAGCAATTGAATTGCAGCTGTCTGGAAAGTGAATTCAGTCGAATTCAGGATTTTCTGCAGCTCCGTTCACCTTGACAGTTGACGGGGGTTAAAAGGGGTGTATAAAAGGGTATAGTAAATTATATAGATCAATTACACGCTCATTCCTCGTCTTGATGCTTGCATGTTTGTCTTAACAGCTCCTAAAAGCGGGCCATAAACTGCGCAGGGATATTCGAGGGAACGGGAATGTTTCAAAAACACAATTTCATCAAGTGAAGTGTGGAAATAAGGTAAAGAGTTGAGGTTCTGCTCCATCAGACCACGACCCCAAAAGCAATAAACATAAAAGCCACACGTCGGGACTCAAATGCTCGAATAAAATGTGAAATACAAGGCACACTCACTGGTGGAGTTTGCAGAGATGGGAAGGGAATTCCAGGTCCGCTAAGTAGTTTACCCTAATAGAGTTGGGTCGGGTTAATATGGCCGAAGCGCACTGCACACGGTTCGCATAACTTTGCTTCAACTTTGGCTCCGAAGTGCAGGCCATTTGAAGCGGGACGGGGCGGAAACAAAGCGAATAAATGGCAGGCATACTTGTGCAAATTCCTGGCAAAAAGCCTAAGTTCACGGGCGGTCAAATTTTGAGTCCGGCCTGGCAACGGCGAAATGGAAATGAGATCCACAGGCGCAGCAGTCCAAAGACAGCTGCAGGTGCACTCTGGATCCTGGGCCCCGAGTCCTGGCACGCTGAATTGCAATGAAATGAAATGTGATGTGTAATTCATGACGCCAAAGTCGTTTGTGCAGCTGAATAAATCTCGTAAATTAAGTCATCATTCCAGCAGCATTTAACTCACGCTTCTCCGGTTGGAACTCGATGCCTAATTAAGGCCGTTCCCATTTATATATAATTCATTTTGTCCAGTGATGACTGACTGGCTGGGGCTTTTATGCTCTTTAATAATGTATTTTTTAGCAAGATCAAAGGGAAATATGTAAATGGGTATTTAAGAAGGCGTAAGCACTAAAAAATAAATATTAATTTCATATTGATTATAAAATAATAATCATAAAATCATTAAAGCTCAAAAAAGGTACATTTCTTTTCAGAATTTACACTCACATGTGATTAATAAACTCCTAAGCTTGGCTAATAATCTTAGCTTTAAATGGCTGAATGTCTCAGATCTTCTAGGGTGACCCCCTCAGCCTGTTTGTAGCACCTTTATCCCCTGTTTCCAAGCCTTTGAGGATATCAGGCAACGAGTTCCAAGCATTACTCGATTTTTCTTTCAGGCATGTTAGGTTATTCATTGGCAGTCCCTACCACCGTCCGGTGCGCAGACATCCAGTCCACCCACCACCCCCGACGAGCCGAGCCAAAGTGGAAATGCAAATATTTGCGTGCCTCCGGCGACCCCTTCGCATTTTCCTCAGACTCCGCCCCTGCCTCTGCTGCAGCATGCCTTCGAGAGAGAGTTGGCCTTTGTAGCCTCAATTATTCAGCCATGTTTACAAGTTGACAGATTGCAGAAGCTGCCGGTCCTCGAGTGGAGGCACACTCCGGTAAACTGGGGGCGGTTGACTTGTCGTGGCACAAACCCCATTCGGATGTGCCAACCCCACACGGAAAAATGTTTCTAATTTCATAAAATGATTTTCTAAATCAGGATAATCTAAATCACTGAAATACAGCTGTTATACGTTCTGTGACCTACCAAAAAGAAATGGCCATAATGCGATTTATAAACTATAATACGATTTTAACACTGTTCATGGAAAGGTTTGCAGAAAAGATTTATTTTTTTCCCTATGCTTATTCACAAATAAGAAAATATTTAACAGCCCTTCAAAAATTTCTGGCAGTGCATTAATTTCACCAATCTTGTCCATTTTTTATTGCAGCGCTTTCGTTCACACTGGAGCCGCAGGATGCAGTGGTGCCCGAGGGCCACTCGGTCCTGCTCCAGTGCGCGGGCATTGCATCCATGGGGCGCGGAGGCAAGGGCAAAGCCAGCGCGCCCACCCCAGTGACCATCCGGTGGCGAGGTCCTGACGGCCAGGACCTGGTCATCGTGGGCGATACGTTCCGCACGCAGCTGAAGAACGGATCACTGTACATCAGCTCCGTGGAGGAGAGCCGCGGACTGACGGGAGCCTACCAGTGCCTGCTGAGTGCCGATGGCGTGGGCAGTGTGCTCAGTCGCCCGGCACTGGTGGCCATTGCCCGCCAGCCGGACCTGAACCAGGACTTCCTGGAGACCTACCTGCTGCCGGGCCAGACAGCCTATTTCCGCTGCATGGTGGGAGAGGCCAACTGGCAGGAGGGCGTCAAGCACTCGGTGCAGTGGTTCAAGGATGACTTGCCACTGACCGTGGACAAGTTGCGCATGGTGGTGCTGCCCAACGGAGCCCTAGAAATCGATGAGGTGGGCCCGTCGGATCGAGGGTCCTACCAGTGCAACGTGACGTCGGGCAGTATCTCCCGACTGAGCAGCAAAACCAACTTAAACATCAAGAAACCCAATGAACTAGGAGCCGAGAATGCGGTGGCTCCATCGTTCCTCGTGGGCCCTTCTCCCAAAACCGTGAGGGAGGGCGAGACCGTCACCCTGGACTGTGTGGCCAACGGAGTGCCCAAGCCGCAGATCAAGTGGCTGCGAAACGGCATGGATCTGGACCTGAACGACCTGGATTCCCGCTTCTCCATCATTGGAACGGGTTCGCTGCAAATCTCCAGTGCCGAGGACATTGACTCTGGGAACTACCAGTGCAGGGCCAGCAATACGGTGGATTCTCTGGATGCCCAGGCCACGGTGCAGGTGCAGGAGCCGCCGAAGTTCATCAAGGCGCCCAAGGATACGACTGCCCACGAGAAGGACGAGCCGGAGCTAAAGTGCGACATCTGGGGAAAGCCCAAGCCCATTATTAGGTGGCTCAAGAACGGAGATGTCATAACGCCCAATGACTACATGCAACTGGTGGATGGTCACAATCTTAAGATCCTTGGGCTCCTCAACTCCGATGCCGGGATGTTCCAGTGCGTGGGCACGAATGCCGCCGGCAGTGTCCATGCTGCAGCTCGTCTGCGGGTTGTTCCCCAAGGAGGTGAGTGGATTATCTGACAATGTACCCCAAGTAGTCCTAGCTCGGTGTCCAGTATTTGTGCAGCTTAAACAATTGGCGCCTCTTTGAGGCCTGTAAATTGTCCCAACGAAATTTAACCCCCAATCTCCCAACCCCGCCTATCACACTTTGTTGTATAAATATCCTTTCATCCATCCTGCTTTTGTAAAATAATTTCGTAAGCGTCTATGTGTGTATTGTTTGTATAGTAATAAATTAAGTTACTCTAATTATTTTATCTCAAAGTATGGAAATCTCTTTTGTGCATATTTAACTATTATAAATGCTATTATTTATGTCTTCATTGTGCTGTGAATAAGGTATTCAAAGTACTTAGCTTTAAACGAAACAATTGTAGTAGTCCTCTGTTTGCATTTATGATTTTAATAACTTTATATAACCGAAACAGTTAATCGGCTTAAGTATGGCCACAATTAAATATAATGAATTATTCATTAATGCGAATTATTGAACATACAAAAGAGATTTCAATCCAGTTAATTAATATTCAATAACATGAAATGAATTTTATTAATTTCCAATATAATTTATTAACTTATTGTTTATTTCGTTTGTTCTTTTATTTCCTTTATCCTCGCCTCATTTCCATTTAATATCACCCCAACCACAACCACAACCATCCACCACCACCGAATCCCACTCCCAAAGTGAAAATCAAAAAACGAAAATCCCAAGGCCACTCCACCAAATCCCTCCAGACCTTTGACAATCTGACCAAGCGGCGCAAGCCCTTCAATTCGGGCGAGCAGCTGCGCACCAAGTCCGGTGGCAGTTTTCCCTTTCCGGACGAGGACGACGAACTAGACGATGACGACGCGAGTACGACACGACTTAGAATTCCTTCCGGAAAGCTTCCCCAGTTCGAGCAACCGCTCAACGATCGCAGGTTCAATATTCTCAAGTCGGCGAGTGTTCTGCCGCTGGAGAGTCAGTCAAAGAGTTACGAGGACGACGACGATGACTATGACGACGAAGATTTAGCCAACATTGAGGCTCATATAGAGGCCTACAAGCAGGGCGAGAACGCTCAGAAAATACTGGACTCCTGGCAGGCGGGCAAGAGCAAGAAATCCCAGCAGCAAAAACAATCCCCTGCTTCCCCAGATTCCCCCGAACAGGATCCGAGTGTTCCGCATCCAGGTGCCAAGCCCCTGGACAGTGGACTTCAGGCCCGATTGCCCAGTCAGCCGCGGGACTTGGTTGCCCAGATAGTGAAGTCCCGGTTTGTGACCCTGAGCTGGGTGGAACCCCTCCAGAATGCCGGCGATGTTGTGTACTACACGGTCTACTACAAGATGAACAACAGCGAGAGGTGAGTAGAAATCATCGGGAAATCATCGCATTACCCGCTTAATTGGCATCCGCTTCATTAACCAACAATTAGCAGGGGTTAAGCCTGTTTGCATAGTTAGCCAATCGCCTAATGGCTTCCTCTCATCAGTCGAGCGGAAATGATTTCGCTTTCGATTCAATCCGACTGTCCGTCTGTCTGGCTTGCATCCTGAGGCAAGTCCCAGACCCCACTTATTCAAGGAGTTCGTTCGAGTGCTGCTAATAAGTTTAGAGATTTGGAAAATCTAGTGTTTTAAGACTGGGATTGCATCGCCTTTTAATACACACTTTGCAACTACACTTTAAGGGCTTAAGTTCATTTTCTTAAATAAAAACCAATTTTTAATGACTAATTTTATAACAACAATTTCAGGGAGCAAAAAATGGTCACCAAGTCGCATGACGATCAACAGGTCAATATTCAATCGTTGCTGCCCGGCAGAACCTATCAATTCCGAGTGGAGGCCAATACCAACTTTGGCAGCGGGGCATCCTCTGCTCCCCTGGAAGTCAGCACCCAGCCGGAGGTTAATATTGCGGGTCCACCACGCAACTTTGAAGGGCATGCCCGTAGTCACAAGGAGATTTACGTGAAATGGGCAGAGCCCTCGGTGACCAATGGAGAGATACTTAAGTATCGTGTTTACTACTCAGAGGTGAGATATGAAATAAATTTTAAACCTTTAACATATAGCTGATTCTTTTTTTTATTTTCAGAACGACAGCGGTGCAGATTTATATCACGATAGTACTGCCTTGGATGCAGTTCTCACCGAGCTGCGTCCCAACACTGATTACGTGATCTCAGTGGTGCCTTTCAATCGAAATGGAATGGGGGATTCCTCAGCGGAAATCCGTGTGAAGACGTTTTCCTCCACGCCGTCTGAACCTCCCAACAATGTTACTTTGGAGGTGACCAGTTCCAGCGTAAGTAGATACAAATATTTCAAACGAAATTCTGTTAACTTATAAACTACATCACCTTACTAGTCCATCACCGTTCACTGGGAGCCACCTGCAGAGGAAGATCGCAATGGCCAGATTACAGGCTACAAGATTCGTTATCGCAAGTTCAAGGATGCGCCCCAAGTGAAGAGTACTCCTGCCAACATTCGATACTTCGAGTTGAGCAGCTTGGATCGCAATGCTGAGTACCAAGTCAAGATTGCGGCCATGACGGTCAACGGTTCGGGACCATTTACGGAATGGTACCGCGTCAACACACTGGAAAATGACCTTGACGAAACGCAGGTGCCGGGAAAACCGATTTGGAAAAGCATTCAACCCGGAGCCAACAACATTGCCCTGCACTGGGGACCACCACAGCACCCGGAAATCAAGATACGCAACTACGTACTGGGCTGGGGTCGCGGCATTCCCGATGAGAACACAATCGAGCTGAAGGAGACGGAGCGTTATCATATACTTAAGAATCTGGAGTCCAATATGGATTATGTTGTATCGCTAAGGGCGAGAAATGTTAAGGGCGACGGCCCACCTATTTATGACAATATCAAGACACGCGACGAGGAGCCAGTGGACGCACCTACGCCGCTTGAGGTTCCAGTGGGTCTGCGAGCCATCACCATGTCCAGCTCCTCTATTGTGGTCTACTGGATTGACACGATGCTGAACAAGAATCAGCATGTGACAGATAATCGACACTACACGGTCAGCTATGGTATCACGGGATCTAATCGCTATCGCTACCATAACACCTCGGATCTCAACTGCATGATCAATGATCTGCGCCCCAATACGCAATACGAGTTTGCAGTCAAAGTCGTCAAGGGACGCAGAGAGTCGTCCTGGTCGATGTCCGTGTTAAATAGTACGTATCAGAATGTGCCGGTCACGCCACCGCGGGAGGTTACTGTTCGCTTGGATGAGATGAATCCACCCACTGTGATCATCCAGTGGATTCCACCAAAGCACACTGTTGGCCAGATCACCGGATACAATATATACTACACTACGGACACCACGAAGAGAGATCGCGACTGGTCAGTTGAAGCCTTCGCGGGCGAGGAGACCATGATGATGCTACCGAACCTGAAACCCTACACCACATACTACTTCAAAGTTCAGGCGAGAACTACGAAGGGTAATAATAACGCCCCTTTCTCGGCTCTGGTATCCTACACCACCAGTGCAGCGGTTATCATGCAGGAGGCCGACACCATAGCCAAGGGAATCGACAACGAGAAGCTGCTGTACATAATTATAGCAGTTACGGCTGTTGTTCTCCTGGTGGTGCTTTTGGGTGTACTGATGCTATGCAGGCGCAAGCCTCAATCCTCGCCAGAACACACTAAGAAGAGGTCAGTTTTCCTTAACATCATTGTTATCTTTTGTATATATTTCTAAAACTTTATGTACTTGCAGCTACCAAAAGAACAATGTGGGCGTTCCCAAACCACCGGATCTGTGGATACACCATGATCAAATGGAGCTTAAAAACATAGACAAGGGCTTGCACACAGTGACACCTGTCTGCAGTGATGGAGCCTCGAGCAGTGGTGCTCTCACCTTGCCAAGGTCAGTGGTGCACAGCGAATACGAGGTGGAGACGCCAGTGCCAGGTCATGTGACCAATTCGCTGGATAAGCGATCCTACGTGCCAGGATATATGAGTGAGTGACAGCCACCCCTTTTTAAAGTGACTGAAATATAAGACATACCCATCATTTTGCAGCCACCTCAATGAACGGAACGATGGAGCGCCCTCAGTACCCGCGTACCCAGTACAGCCACCAGAATCGATCCCACATGACCATGGAGGCCGGTCTTTCCCAGCAAAGCCTCACCCAGCCGCAGAGCAACTCTATGGCTCAGACTCCGGAGCATCCTTATGGCGGCTACGACGCCAACTTCTGGTGAGCAAAGTGGGCGGTGCTTTTGCTAGATTTTTTGTATGTTAGATCTCTCGTTGGCATGTGCACACATTTCGGTGCTATAAATTGAACAAAATTCCCACATAAATCCTAAGTTTTTAACCTTCGCTGCGAACAAGACGAGAATGTGCTCGAGGACGCGTTGGGGACGGATCGATCCCAGTGTACAGGTCAACGTGGCGTTTGGGCCATCAAGCAGGGTGATCAAGCTCAATAACCAAACGCTACCGCGGCGTGTTGAGCAGCAGCTCCTTCTAATGGCTTCACCCTCGCCGTTCCTTAACTTCATGAACAAGTTCCGCTTGGACGAGATCATAATCAACCATCAGTACAAGGGCGTCTACAGCATGCGCACCGCGGCGACCATCACCGAGTTGGCCACCTACACGTGGAATGTGATGTCCGTCTCCGATCGCCAGCCGTATATCCGATTGGCCCGGAAGGCGCAGCAGGTTCAGCAAGCGCGAAAGCTGCACTTTCTAGGCACCAGCAATCGGCCGGTGATTAAGAGGGGTTCCCAATGTCCTATTGTTGTTTGAAGCTGTCTTGGGCCTTGTTTAGTAGCATATGAAAAAACCTTTTAAATAAATAGTTATTCTCTTAATAGGTGAATTCATTTTTTGCTTACTTATTTCAGCAACGGCGCAAGCGGGGCTGCTGGCAATGGCTGTGTGTCCACCATTGAGAGTTCCAAACGTGGGCATCCTCTGAAGAGTTTCAGTGTGCCGGGTCCACCGCCCACAGGAGGCGCCACGCCAGTTAACAAGCATAGTGAGTATTTATTTAATAGGCTGAAAAACGATTAGACATGATATTGATAGGACAATATTTAAAATCAAGGAAATTTTAGGCCCAGGAGACTTCTATGATACAATTACTAATCTCAAATTTAATTTTACAGCCCCCGCCGTCACAATACGTCCACAAAACCAATCGCCATACAAGAAGCCATCGTTCTCGGCTGCTACGCCCAATCGCCTGCAGGGCGGCGGGTCGGTGGTCCACTCAACCGATGAGATTCAAAGACTTGCCCCCAGCACATCCACCGAGGAGCTCAACCAGGAAATGGCCAATCTGGAGGGCCTCATGAAGGATCTGAGCGCCATAACGGCAAACGAATTCGAGTGTTAACACTGAAGCCGCCTTAAAAATGTCCGGCTGGCTGAAAGTATTAGTCGTCAAACAATGGATGTTACTTGTTTTTTAGTTTCTGTTTTATATTATTGATTTTACTCGAATTTGTGAACTGCATAGAACCGACTTGAATTGGGTTCCCCTCCGGAGAGGTCCTTTTAGATTTAGTTAATCAAATGTGCGATATATTAATGACCGAAAAGAACTGTAAATACGAACGACGCCGCCATATAAATTTTTAAGCCTAGATACACACATTCATACCTATAAATATAACTTAAGAATAGTTAAATATCGGATAAGGAAAGTGTAAAAACTGGGACAGAAAATGGAGTAAAGAATTGGACGAAAAGCGTTTATTGTGCAGGATCTGTCTCTAAACTGTCACACGACATTTCATATTTATCACTCTGCATCATCTTAATTTAATCCGCAACCAAAAGCGGATAGTCTTAGTCTACATACATATGCCATTCTATATTCATATGCATACAGCATCTAAGCTAAGTTTCATACTAGTAAAGACCCTAAGAACGTAACTTTTATGCTACTATAACCCCAACAAACAATCAAAACAATTCGATATATACTTGCCTCTTAAAGTGTTCTTCTACAATTTTATTTTATCATGAGTTTGATACGTGCCATTTCAACGATTTGTCGCCAATCCCACAAAACTACTTAAGCTATAAAGTCAAGTTCTAGACTGTAAGCCAGCAAAGCATTTATGATTTAAACTACACTATTAATAAAGGGTGGTATGACATTGTTTGTTTTACCACAAAATAAATTAAACTTATTGAGGTGATTTTGGCGTGTCCAAAGTTTTTATTGTCAAGAAAGTTTACTATTTTTATGCGTTGTTTATCAAAATACACTGTATTTAACATTGCTTTGCACAACAATCTCATAAAACACAGCATTACATTTCAAACAACCCCAAATGCACAAGGTAAGCATTTGAAAATTGTGAAAATTTTATTGTATTGAACGTAAACTTTGTAATCAAAACAAATTGCTAAATATATAAAGAATATGTGAAAATTAATTCTTGCTTTGATTTATTTGGAGTGGTTATGGTTAATATTCATTACAAACAATTTACTCTTCTCTTTCAAAAGAAATGGTCACCTGTGCTCTCCAAACTTTGTAAGAGGCAAATCGCAATTGTATTTTATAGACGCCTTGAGGAAGGGGAAGAGTTTTTAGGAAATCGTCAGAAAATTCCAGATTGTCCAATATTATGTCGTGCTGTAGCGAATATGACAGTTAAGTTTTTGTGTATGTTACTCTGCGGGTTTTTAAGCTTACGTTGTACGGACATGAGTGGTTTAAATTGGACCGCGTCATGATGGCATTAATAACGAGTCCTTCAAACGATAGAAAATTGTTTTTTTCTAAAAGGCGGCAGAGATCTACGCTGACGTTGTACAAAAATGGACGAAATCCGTTATAGCGGCGGTAAATGGCCCAATTTATCTAGAGCCATGCTCAAATATATTGATAAAAGTGAAAAATATTTTAGTTTGGGAACTCACCCATGAATTATGTATTGGCAGTTGAAACAGCTTTACGTACAAATCGGCACCAACGCGACCTCTTCCAAGTAAATTAAGTTTACATTTTTTAAAAGATGCATACGATTCGTTAAAGGATTCGCAAAGCATGTTGGTAAATCTGGACTTTGGCCTTCCGCACTCGCCTCTCAAGTTTGAGCTCAACAAAATGGCAGCGATTATTGTTGCTAGAAGCAATCTGTTGGATACAAGTGCCATCATTATTGCAGAACGACTATCTGTTCAGGAAAAGTTATTAACACCCTTTTAAATAATATTTGAGCAGAAAATCATTAGCTAAAGCTCATTGATTTCATTCATAAAAATATAATTATAATCAGTGTGTAATATCTGGTAATCGACATAATTCGAAGTTTATTGATGTAATTTGTTTAGTCAATATTATATTGATTTAAATCGCGGGGTTTTACCCTTTACCCTTTACTCGTACAGTAAAAGAGTTTATTAGATTCGTCGAAAGTATGTAACACTCATAAGGAAACGTTTCCCATATATATATATATATAGTGACATATCCCTAGCACCACGTACCCCTATGTACATGTCCACACACCCACACATACATACTCACATTATGCAGTCACCCTCAAGACACCCTCTGAGAAATAAGAGTCCACATTTAATTGTAAACAAGCCAATGGAAAATTACCATGAAACAAAAAACCACGGCTTATAGACTAAACAATTAGAACGAGCCGCTGTTCTGACTTTCGGCACGTTCCCACCATTCAGGATGCTCAGATTTCGGGACCCAAGTCTGGAGTCCAAAGTCCAAATTCAGAGTCACTCAATTACAATTAAAACCACTCACAAAAAGCTCTAAAGCTCAAAACCGAGGTATGATCGTAAATGAAGTAGGAGTTAGAGAGCGAGTTCAGTTTGAGATTTGTTAATAGGAAGTCGATGTTATCCCAATCTAAAAATATTGTAACCAGTTTAAGAATAAATTAATTAAAGTTTTATTTTTTATATATTAAACTTATGGTGCAAACATTTAATTGGCGCATTCGGTAAGATCTGAAAGTCCTTTAAAAAATCATCGGTACTGATCAAATAAAAAGGATAATACTAAACGACTAGTTTATCCTGATCACCGAAAAATCCGTGAACAAAAAAAGGCAATTATCAAGATCAGCTAAAAAATCTATGTGTAATTTTCGCACGCAGAACTTAAATTAAAAAACAAATTCGGTCAATACGCGCTTAAAAGTTAAAAATTGTGGAAATAAATTGCGCTCCTTTTAGTGCATAAATATTATATAATTATTTCTTTTGCTGAAGTCTCTGCCATTCCTGTATAAATAATTTAAATTTTTAATTTGTGAAAGTAGTGTGTTACTTCAGTTGTATATTAGTTTCCTTTAATTAGTTCGATTTGTCGGAAAAAATAATTAAATGGACTCTCAGTTATAAAAATATAATTTTGGTTGTCCTCTTGAGCACTGTGCACTGTGCACGTTTTTAGATGTTTCTTCCGGTATGTTTTCTTCAAAACTATCTGTAAACATAGTTTCCTCTATTTTGGTTCTGCATAATTCGTCGGCTACATAATTTTCTTTTCCTGGAAAATATTTAATCTGATAATCATATTCGTTTAATTTTACTTTCCACCTTTGAAGTTTCATACTTGGTTCTTTAATGTTGTTTAGCCAAACTAAAAGTTTGTGATCGCGTAGTATTTCAAATGACCTGCCCATACGATTGCTAAAAGTTCTTTTTCTGTGGTAGCATAATTTATTTCATGTTCATTAATAGTTCTGCTGGCATAAAAAACTGGTTTATGATTTTGTGATAACACTGCTCCTATCGCCATGTTACTTGCTTCCGTTGTTAAAGAGAATAGTTTACTAAAGTCGGGGTAAGTTAAAATGGGGTCAGGTGTAATTAGGACTTTCATTTTTTGAAATGCTTCTGTGTAGGGTTTGTCTATAGTATTAATTGTGGCACCTTTCCTTAATTTCGTTGTCATTGGTTTTACGATATTTTCAAAGTTCGGTATGAATTTCCGATAAAATCCACACAATCCTAAAAATGATTTAATTTCTTTTGGGGTTTTTGGTATTGGGGTATTTATGATGACACTTATTTTCTTTGGATTCGGTTTTATACCTGTAGTCGTTACGATGTGACCTAGGAACGCTGTTTCCTTTTTCATATATTTACATTTATCCAAGTGTAATTTTAGATTTGCATCTCGTAATTTTTGGAATACCTTTTTCAATGATTGAACATGTTCTTCCAATGAAGTGGAAAAAATTATTATATCATCTAGATATACTAAACAATCTTTAAAGATTAAATCCTCTAATAAATTGTTCATACATCTTTGAAAGGTAGCGGGGGCGTTTTTAAGGCCAAATGGCATTCGGGTGTACTCGTAATGGCCATGTTTGGTTGAGAACGCTGTTTTTGGTATTGACTCTGGTTCCATTTGAATTTGATGGAATCCTTTAGCTATATCGATGGTAGTGAAATACTGACATCTTCCTAATTTGTCCAATATTTCATCCATTCTAGGTATTGGGAATTTATCGTTGATTGTGAATTCGTTTAAATTTCTGTAATCTACAACTAGTCTGAATTTTTGTTTTCATGATGCATAACTTTTTTTTGGAACTATCCAAATTGGTGAGCAATAGGGAGATTTTGATTTGCGAATTATTCCTTGTTCGATCATTTCGTTTATTTGTTTATTAACCTCCTCATCGAAAGTTTGAGGGTATTTGTATGGTTTCCTACATATTGGGTCTTCATGTTTCGTTTGTATCGAATGCCTGATAGTACTTGTGAAAGTCAAATTTTCACCTTCCTTGTACTGGATGTCATTGTATTCGAACAAAACCCTTTTTAAAATTTCTTTCTCTTCCTCATTTAAATGTTCTAATCTATATACATTGCATTCTTTTAATTCATTATTAAAAGCAAAGTTAAAAGATTGGTCCTTTGAAGGGCGGATTAAGGCATTCTAATGCGGTCTTATCCTCTTCAATCTTTTTTTCAACCGATGGTGGACTAAGGCATTTTACTGCGGTCTTGTCCTTTACTATATCGTTTTCGCCATATTTTACATAAAGTAGTGTGTCTCCTAACATAACTGTTTCTTTTTCGTAATCTATTTTTGCCTTACTGTCTTTTAAATAGTCTCTACCTATTAGGATGTCGTAATTGTTGGAAAATTTATGTAAATAGAATTTTTGTTTAGTCGAACAAATTTTTGGAAGGATCTAATGTTATGCTTTTATTTAGTTCCATTGAACCGTTTATTGTAAATACTTTTAATTTCTCTATTTGTTCTTTATTATTTCCAAAATTTTCTGTCATTAAGTTGATAGATGACCCGGTATCTATCATTGCTCTAAGGAGTTTTCCCTTAATCATCACTCTTACATATGGGCAACATCTTCTATATCCGAGGCAGTTTGCTGAAAATTTACATCCATTCTTTTCTATGCACTTTCGTTTTCTCTCTGTCTTTTGACGGGTGCATTTGGAGAATTATTCGATGTAGATGCCTGAAAATTTAGAGGGTTTTGGGCCCTACCTTGGTCTAAGTTTCTCCTAAACTCATGATAATTACCTTGGTTTCTAGGGGAAATTTGATTTCTGTTTGGTGAACCTTGAGGATTTGTTGAATTGTTATTGTAATTATATTTTGGATAACTATGCGACTGAGAATTATGTTTTTGATAGTAATGATTTTGATGCGTACTTCCCGAATTCCTTCGGTTATCTTGACGTTTGGGTTTATAATTGTTAAAAAGGTCTGCGTCCCATTGACCTAAAATCATTGCTGCTTCTTTTAAATTAGCAAGTGTTCTGATATCTTTTTTGGATAAGAAATTATACAAACTATCAGGAAGTTTTCTTTCGATACAATCCAAATTGTCTTGTTTAGAGAACTTGTATAAATTGACCTGTCTATTGGGTTTGATTCTAATTCTAACTTATGTACTTTCGAATATCTCAATTTTTTTTTAATTTTTAAGCGCGTATTGACCGAATTGGATTTTTAATTTAAGTTCTGCGTGCGAAAATTACACATAGATTCTTAAGCGGATTTCGATAAGTGTCTTTTTGTTGTTCACGGATTTTTCGCTGATCTGGATAAACTAGTCGTTTAGTATCAACCTTCTTATTTGATCAGTACCGATGATTTTTTAAAGGACTTTGAGATCCTACCGACTGCGCCAATTAAATGTTTGCACCATAAGTTTATTATAAAAAAAAACTTTATTTAATTTATTCTTAAACTGGTTAGAATATGTTTACATCTGAAGAACACCGACTTGCTATTAACAAATCTCAAACTGAACTCGCTCTCTAACTCCTACTTCATTTACGATCATACCTTATTGTTATTGAGTGAATTTGGACTTTGGTCTCCAGACTTGGGCCCCGAAATTTGAGCATCCTGAATTGTGGGAACGTGCCGATAGTCAGAACAGCGGCTCGTTCTAATTTGGATTCTTATTTCTTAGAGGTTCTCTCGAGGGAGACTGCATAATGTGAGTATGTATGTGTGTGGGTGTGTAGATATGTACGTGGTGCTATGGATATTTCACTATATATATATCAAACCGAAACACCTCTTAACGAGGTTAAAAACTAGTGACGATCCCACATTCAACATAAAAAATATAATATACGATCTAAAAAATAAAGTCTTGTTACGCAATCATTTAGTTTTTGCGATACCTTTTGAAAGGTGTATCACTGGTTATTACAGGACCCTAACTCAAATTGATGCGCACTCACCTGGACATGCTGATCAAGAATACTTTATAAAGTATAAAACATTTCCTTGACTGCGTTACAAACTTCTGACCACTGCAAGGGTATAAAAACACAAACTGAAAAAGCTGGACAGATTACGGAATGGAATAGAATTGCATAAGAAAAAATAGTTTTGTTACGATTTTAATTTGATTTGTTGATTTTTTTCCGGCCAAAGAACGTTACAACAAATGTATCAAAAAAAAGTGCATGATATTTATTGTCATGGGATTATATCCTTGCTAAAAAAATAAAACAACACAATTCATGAAAACCTCGTAAACAGATATTCTACCAACTTAATACCTTTATATTAATCAGTGAGCCAAATAATCATCAAAATACGTGAAGTCTCCAAAAATAAACAAGGGAGAACGCTATAGTCGAGTACCTCGACTATCAGATACCCGTTACTCAGCTAAATGGAGATATGCAAGCAGCAAAGCGAGATTAAAATGCGCCACCTACCGGCGGTATACAGATTTAAGCGTTATGGGCGTTAGAGTGGGCGTGGCAAATTTTTGTTTGGATCAATCGATAGGTATTGACGAGACCAATAGATTTCAGTTAAAATTTTTTATCTAGCATGAAAATTGTGGGCGTCACAGGGTTTTGCGGTTTGTGGGCGTTAAAGTGGGCGTGGCAATCGATAGGTATTGATGAGAACATTACATTTCAGTTAAAATTTTTTATCTAGCATCAAAACTGTAGGAGCCACAGTTTTGGGCGGT